AAATTACCCTTGAATGGTGAGTTAGAGGAAAAATGGTCTTTTTCAGTTTTCAATTTTCTTGTTTTTTTGCATTTTTAATGTTTTTTATAATTTTTGTTTTTTTACATTTTTCTATTTTCTACAATCTATAAACTTTTGGTGTTTTTCTACAATTTTTATATTCTGATTTTGTTTTTCAATTTCCATAGTTTCTATAATTTGAAAATAATTTTTTATTTTGTTTGCCATTTCTATAACTTTTTATATTTTTTGTAATTTCTATGCTTTTATGTATTTTATATTTGAAAATATTTTTTTGAACTTTTTCCTTTTTTCATGTCTAAATATTAAAATGGTAATATATTAACACCCGTTAACTTATTTTTTATATATTTTTATTTTTCTAGGAAGGTTAAAATGATAATATATTAACACCCGTTAGTCTGTTTCATGTCAAGTTAGTGACATGGTGAGTTTTAGACATTTTGAAAAGTTGTGGTGAGTTTAAGAGAAATACTAAAAACTCATGGTGAGTTTTAAACAATTTCCCTTTTTTTTTATCAGCAAAAAGATTTTATTAATAACAGAGAAATATTGAAATACAATAGTTATAGGTGGAAGAATGCATTAACCCAATCTGCAAACACAACAAAACATTTACAGTTCTGCCCAGTACAAGGTAGATCTATTTGACCCCCGTTTTGCTAGGGTGTCCGCCAACCCATTTGCAGTCCTTTTGACCCAACCAAACTGAGAGTTGAACCTCYTTGCAATTATGTCAATTTCTCTGTATATAAATTTGAGCTTCCAAGGTGCTGATGTGATGTTTTTAGCCCAAGAAATGACCAGTAGTGAGTCTCCTTCTATTTCTAAATCTGTTGTACCAATCTGCTCAGTCATCTTTAAACCTTGTAGTAAATCCAAAGATTCAGCCTGCATTGAGTCACCAATACCTATTGGTCCTGAGAAGAGTGCCACAACTTCACCTAGACGATTTCTAATCACACCCCCCATACCTGCCCTTCCCGGGTTACTAAAGGAACTCCCATCAAATTTAGTTTTAGTTTGTTAAGTGCAGGTGGCTTCCACTCCGCTCTCACAATTTCTTTGGGTAAATCTGATTGTGCTACTTCAGTCCAGCTTCTTAGAATCTCATTCGTGGAGAAGTTTTTGAATAGTTCCATGGTCATCACCCAATGTGCAGTTCTGATTTTTATGGTTTCAATGACTTCCTCCTTTTACTTTTTTCAAAGAGTCTTTGGTTTCTTTCTTCCCATATAGTCCATACCACAGAAGCTCTTGCTGCCTTCCATAAGCACTTTCCTCTTTTCTTTTGTTGCATCCAAAGAGAGAACAAACAATTTCCCAAATACAAGAAACAAAAGAGCAAGATAAGAGTAAGTGGGGTAGGGCTTCACCACAATCCTTACAGAGGACACACACATGAGGAGAGAGGCATTTGTTTGGCCTTCTTTTCTGGAGCACATCACAAGTGTTTACCTTCCCTAGGAACACTTCCCAACAGAAGGCTTGTACTTTAGGAGGGATCGGTTTACACCAGATTTCTCTCACTGGAAAGCTCACCCCCAAAGGATCAGAATGAGTGAGCAAACCAAAGAAATAGGCACAAGAAAATAAACCATTAGGGGTTGGGGACCGAACTCTACCATCAGCTGTAGTTTGATCTAAATAGACCTTCTCAAGGGTTGATAGCAAAAAACAATAGGGACTCACATTTATTTTCCCTTAGCCCCCTTCTAAAGCCAAAGTCCCAAGAGATACCCAAGTCTGAAAGTATGCCAACCCTAGCAATAGGTTTGTTTTTAAGGTTTGCTAAAGAGTAGAGGTCCGGAAATTTAACCTTAAAAGACAAATCCCCAACCCAAAGGTCTTCCCAGAATAAAACTTTATTGCCACACCCAACATCGAAACGGATAAATTGAAGAAAGGTTGGTAGTACCTCAAAGGTTGCCTTCCAGGGGGAATTCGGAGCTGCATTGGAAGCTAGTTTTGGATCCCAACCGTTTTCTGCTTCACCATGAATGCTCTTAATGACCCTGTGCCATAACCTATCTTCTTCACAAGGGAATCTCCACAACCATTTCCCTAGGAAGGCCTTATTTTTCTATAAGATGTTTCCAATACCTAAGCCACCTTGCTCCTTAGGCTTATAGACTTGCTCCCACTTCACTAAATGATCCCTCATTATCTTCTCCAACTTCCTTGCTATTTTCACCGGGATCTTAAAGGTGGAGAGGAAATAGGTGGGTATTTTCCAACTTCCAACATCTAAGTGGTATTTTCCAATCACATAAAACTCCAGATGCACCCCTTCATTTTTCCCATCCTACTCTAATTCTATGGGTGATATCCTCCTCAATCTCTCCCTTGTTATGAACTATTTAACCAATGTAGCAAAAAAGATTACATTGAACTATCTCTTGGTCTCCAATCCTAAGTGTACCTTGATTTGCACTTCCATTATTATTAACTTTACATGCCATATTATCCACAAATTGTGAGAGGCTGCATACCACCAACTAACCTCTTGTCCTTTCTCTTGTTGTATTTGGGAATGGTTTCTTGCTCTGTTTGGGTGTAGGTGGAATCCCCTTGTTAACTTGGACAAATTGTTTGATATATGTTAAGAAGTACAAAGCGAAGAGGCAAGGTTATGTGGAAGTGTACAAGGGCAGCAGTAATTTGGACAATTTGGGAAGAAAGAGAGGAGCAGGGACACAATAATTGAAACATTCACTCTAAAAGTAACACACTGGGTGGATATAATGGAACTGTTCTCAAATTTTATGATGCAAGATATCATCCGGATTCCAGAGTTGGGGGATAGTGGCAGCTTCTTCATCAAAAAACCAAGAGCAAAAAAGGATTGGACACTTGCAGAAAGTGAAGTGCATGGCTGATGTCAAACTTTAATGGAAGCAGCATGGCCGATTTGGGGCCATCTAGAATTGAGGGAGTAGTAAGGGATGAGAAGAAAACCACACATGCACTATACACAGGTCCAATAGGTGAAGGAAATTCAGCAAGGGTAGAAATTTTGGTTTGGCAGCAGTTTTTGAGGTGTAGAAAGTCAAGGAAATGGGGGGTTGAAAATTGATAATTGAATGTGAACTGCAGGTGGTAATTAGTTGGCTAATGAAGGATAAGAAAGTGTTGTAAAAATTAAGAAATGAATTCAGACAATTCAAATGGTACTCAAAAGACAAGCAGATAGAAATAAAATGGGTATAAAGGCCGGCCAACAGCTTTGGCTGATGGGTTGGCTAAATAGGGGGTTAATAGGCAATATGTTTTTGGGATCAAATGTAAAAGAGTAAGGGGATGAGGTTGGACTGACTGTGCTCATATATTTGTATTAACAATTACTCGTACTTGTTGTTCCTAATTAATGAATGAAATTTTATTCTTCATTGCTGATAAAAAAAATGGAAAAAAAAAAATTACATGCCATAAATTCTGTTTTAGTTCCACTTACTTTAAAAACTCTTGTTTCTAATGCATATGCCCATAAGCTTAATTTTGCAATTTGCATTTAATCCTTCATTATTTTCATTAATTAAAATGATGTCATCAGCGAACAACATGCACCACGGGACCTCCTCCTGAATATGTTTAATCAATTCATCCATGACCAGTCCAACATGATCAAAGTACAAAAGATTCCATTCCCCCCACTACCTTGGAAAAGTGGAAACCCCATCTAATAGGGCTATAATTGGATTCAATTCAGATTGATTCCATCTACACCCATATCTGATCTGATTATCAAACCTTTGGATCTGAACCCAATCCAAAATTTGATATGTCAACTCATATCGGATTCAGATTTAATCTGCAGCCATCTTCTCATGCTTAAAATAACAAAAAAATAAAAAATAAAATAAAAAACAATTACTTTTAACTTCTACATGTATAATAAATGTATATAAAATATAAGATATTAAATAGATCAGTTGTAAACTTTATATAATTGTAGATAATATTTATTCATACATAATTATACTACATATATAAAAAATAATAATTTTAATCAAACTTGGTTTTTAATTGGACCAGATGGGTTAAATCCACATCCAATCAATTATTAATAAGATGCAAGTTCTAGCATCCAAGTCCAGGATAATTGGATTCAGTGTCGAAACAGGTATCAGACTTTGACAGACCTGGGTAGCCAACTGAGCATCCATCAAAATCAAGTTTGATTGTGAGTAATCAGAATCCTAGTAGGCTAGTGTGAAGAGTCCTGATGTTGTATGGTATTACTGTAGTCTCTGTTGTATGCTTCACATGCTACATTTTCTTTGTTTCTTTGTTTTCTTCTTCCTTAGCCCTATAAGAATTTTTCTGTAATTGTACATACTTTCATATATATATATATATATATATATACTACTAATAAAAGAGCGAATAGCCCCATTTTCTGGACTTTTCATTAGACATTTTCACCCCTTATCTAAGCAACATACAACGGGCATCAAAAAGGGCATATATGTCCTTTACTCTCACTCCAAAAACTGCCCACTTGTAACTGTTCAAAAACTGTCCACATATAACAGTTAAGAAACTGCCCACTTATAACTGTTCAAAAACTGTCCACATATAACAGTTAAGAAACTGCCCACTTAATTGTCTTGGAGATACTGTCACGTGCAAATGCATGTATATGCAGCTAGGGCCAAGAAATAGTTAACCACTCTGAAGGAAATGAATCAAGTGCTGTAACATTTGTCTTTTGGACTTCTTATTTAAATACACAACAACTTACATTTTTATTAGTTTATTTAGGCTTCTTTCATTTTAATCAATAATATGCTTTCTGTTAGTTTTGCTTGTGCAGACCTGTTAGTTAACTCTGACAATCAGGTAGAAGGATCTATGGGTCAACATCCAGTTATAATACTGATCCATGAAAAAAGGGTTTTCTTTCTGTAGTAACACATGAATTATCAATATTGGAAGATGAAGAATCCTTGCAGAAATCAATAAGAAATAGAAAGGACCTGGAATCTCTGTGCTCGAGGGCTCATTCCAAGCTCACTGCAACTGCAAGGACACGATAATCTGTACTGATCCTGCAAAAAGCAATAAGGTACACCAGAATTTATCAAAGGAAATATTGAAATTTCTACATGTAATTATTAAAGCTCAGACAACTGGAAAAAAATGTATGGAGCTGAATGAAACCCAAATCTTGAGGAAAACATTTATTAACTTAACAATTGACGAATCCTATATAAAGCCATTGATCCCTCTAGTCATGAGAATCTACATATTTTCTTCAGTTCAGTAACTATTGTGGGTAGAGATTAGGTATTAATTCTACAAACTTATATTGAACCCATGATTGTTAGTGTCAATCTGACATGTAAATCACCCACCAGGGAAGAATTTCATAGAAAACCAAGAAAATACCTAATATACTGGGAAATCTCAGTATGAAGAGAACAAAACTCAGTGCAAGCCAGTGTTTGTGAAGAATAGACAGATCACTGGTCAAACTTTAACTGTGAACGAATGCGTGGAGCATGGCTTAAAATGTCCCTAATTTCCCTAATATTTCCACAACATATTTCCATTTCCATGGGTAGCAACAGGAAATTTTACTGGAATCGACATTTCCCCAATGAACACTACCAAYACTATGTGGAGTACAAGAGATASTTTCCAYGRCATACTTCCATTTCCACTTCCATGGGTAACAACATGAAATTTTACTGGAATTGACATATTCCCCATTGAACACTACCAATACTATGTGGAGTACAAGAGATAGTATTATAACATAAGTTGGTGACAATATTGTAGGTATGTGAAGTAGAAAGTTATTGTCCACCTAACTTATATGATTACCACTTTGAGTTAACTCAATATTCATTTCAAATATGAAGTTAAATATTAGTTTTGGTTGTGCAATAGATTATTTGGTTAATCTATTACAACCATTTACATTTTCAATGAGTTTAAGTTTTGATTTAACTCATTCTATCATGAAGCTCTGAATCTTAAGGTTTATAGGGAAACTTTAGAATATATTCTTTTGTCTATAACCTTAGTTTCTTATCTTTGTTTAATGATTTAGAATATATTCTTTTGTCCATAACCAAAAACTGTTGATTTGATCAGCAACCGCTGACCTAGGCGGTCGAACAATCGGCCTGTTCAACACAATCAACGGTTTTTGGATGTTTTGTTGTTTTAATTATTATTTTATTTTTTTATCTTTTAAATTGTGACAAGTTGTTTGTTCGCACCGAGCAATCAAACAGCTGACCCAGAAAATGGTGGCCAAAATGGTTTTTGAAACATTGGTGTAAGCGAATTTCAAGGTGCACTAGGACTTGTCAAGGTGGATTTCTTCTCTGCTCTAAGAGGAATTAGACAGGGGTCCTTTTTACCCTAAAAACAACCGTCCTTGGTAGTTTAATCACTAGAGCGGATTCATGAAACTTAGTGTTGGGATAGAGGATTGGTAGGGAAGGCATGTCTATCATTCACCTACAATTTGCAAATGATACTATTCTGTTCTGTGAAGGAGGTAATTTGAGGTGGATTAGGAATGTAAAATTTGTATACAACTTTTTGAGCAAATGTCAAATCTAAAAGTGAACTATGATAAGTGTTGTATAGCAATAATCAACATGAAAGGTAGAGAGGTCTTAGAATGTGCAAGTGCAACTATTTTGGGTTGTGTGGTATCTCAGTGGCCTTTGAAGTATTTGGGCCTAAACTTGCTAGACAACCCAAAGGCTAGTAGCTTTTGGAACCCTACCATTGAAAGATTTTCCAAACAATTTACTTCGTGGAAGAGAAGTTATCCATTTTTAGACGGTAAGATTACTCTAATTAGATCTACTCTAGTGAACTTGCCTTTGTATTATTTGTCTATTTTCAAGATTCCAGAGAGAATGAATAGAAAGTGGGAAAAGGTAGTCAGGGATTTCCTATGGGAACTAGGGGAGTAAAATAAGGATCATAGGGTAAGTTGGGAGATGATCTGCAAAAGTAATTTGTAATTTCCTTCTTGTTCTCTTGGGGAGAGTTAAGTCATTTTATCTGTCCCCAGAGTGTTGTATGTAATCCTGTTTTTTAATAATATGAGTTTCTATTATTGATAAAAAATGACCTGCAAAAGAAGGTTGGTGTTCTTGTTATTGGGAAAATTCAGAAGAAAAATGTGTCACTGTTAGGAAAATGACTATGGAAGTAACCATTATACAGGGATAAACTATGAGCTAAGGTGGTAATAACCATTCATGGGCTTGTGGCTAAATGGTGGGATATTGAGATTTTGGCTAGGGAAGATTCTCCATGGAAGGCCATTCACGCTGTTCTACCCTCCTTACCTTTTATCAAGTATGACCTTATAGTCTAGGAACTTCATTAAACTCTAGGAGAATGTCAAACTCGTCTATGAAAGACCAATTTCCCTCACTGTTTGTCCATTCAAATTACAAGGATAAGCCTATTTCCACCATCATCCCTTCCAATTCAAGAACCAGGTTTGATTGGAACTTGGGTTTCAGGAGTAGTTTAAGAGATTCTGAATTAAGCAATGTATGGCCTTGCTTCAAATCCTTGATGGGGTATTTTTAGACCCTTTTAAAACGGGATAGCCAAGTCTGGACCTTCTTCCTTTCCTGTCAAGGAGGTCTGGAGTAAGTCTATTCCTCCCAGGGTTGTGAGTTTTTGTGGGAAAACTTTCTTAGAAAGAATTAATACCTCAATTTGCTCCAAAGAAAAAGACCAAATTGGTGTTTATCCCACAATAGGGTGTTCTCTGCAAAGCCAATGGTGAGACTTGCTATCACTTATTAATCCCCTACACCTTTGTTAACTATATTTGTGAATGGTTTCTCCCTTTGTTTGGGTGTAGGTGGACTCCCCTATCAGATGTACAAAGCCTATTTGCTTCTACAACATTTAATTAGCCAAGGAAAAGAGGAGGAATAATGTGGAAATGCGCAGGAACAATTGTTTGCTAGACTTATATGGGAAGAAAGGAACTCAAGAATTTTTTCAGGTGAGGAGTAGAGAAGTAATTGTTGAAGCCATCATTACCAAAGTAATCTATTGGTTAAAGTCTTTGAACTATTTGATGAGACACCAACTGCTGAATTGTTCAGAAGTTGAAAAGAAGTGACAAATTCAGCACCTCTTAAGGCTGTCATAAATCCTGGTTGGTCTCCACCAACCAATGGTTTTATCAAACTTAACTTTGATGGCAGTACCACGGTAGTGTGGCAAATCCAGATCCCTCAAGAATTGGAAGTGTTTCAGAAATGAGGACAAAATAATTGCTCTCTTCTCAGGTCCAATTGGTCTAGGAGACTCTTTAAGGGCTAAGGATTATAACTGTAATGGATGGTGTGCAGAAGGCTAAGGATATGAATATTAGAAAGTTGGCTACTGAAGGTGTCTTCAAGAGCCCATTTGGGAGGGCTTCTGTGTTGGTTGAGCTACGTTGATCGAGCTGCTTCGGAGAAGCTACGTGATATAGCTTCATTGGAAAGTGGACTTTGCAGCTACTGTGAGTGTAATTCCAGCTTCCCAGATTTTTACCAAACACAGCTCATGGAATTCCAGAAGCTGGGTCGTGAAAGCCCTCCCAAACAGGCATCAAGTTGGTGATGGGGTGGCGGCAAAAGGAGGAAACTGGTCTTTTGATTTATAACAAATAGAAAAGAGATTCAAATGGCTAACAGATGACATGGAAGTTCGACAGCAATGGATCAAGAGAAGTGTTAATGTTGATCAGTGTTTAAAAAGCACAAGGCACAAAAAAAAAAAAGCAAATGACAAATTTGCGTCTGAGACACAAGGAGCAGGGCGAGGCGCACACCTTTTTGAAGCAAGGAGCAATATTGCAAAAACAAATCAAAAGAAATGTAAAAATAAAAAAAATATATATTAAACATAATATTGTTTAAAAATATAAACTTAAATTTTAAAATAAATGTTTAAAAAACTATTATCAAAAACTAAAATACATAAACATAACATGTAAAACATATTCAAATGAAAATTTAAAAATAAAACAAACATAAAACATATTCAAGCATGTAAAACCCTCGACCTCTTTCTTTTACTAAGGGCATTAGTTCAAAAAGAAAATGTGATGCAAAACATTTTGCATTGCTGATTCTATGAGCTGCCTTTGTACCTAGCCCCTTCAGGCAAGCCCAAACAAGTCCATGTTAGAGTCTTAAATTCTTAATCTCTACACGTACAAAAATAAAGACTTTATAACTTTAATTGCCTTTTGAGAAGATATTTTATTAGAATGAATGAATGAAGAACATTAACAAATAGGGGGTTCTTAGAGTTCCAATGAGTTTGCTAATGTTGTTCATTCATTCATCCTAATAAAATATCTTATTAAAAGGCAACTAAAATTATAAAATCATTTTTTTGTGTAGGGATTATTGTACAGGAAGAAGAGAGAAAGGGAGAAAGGAGAGGAGAGATGAGAGGACTGAGAGCCCAAAAAGATACTGCAGGCGGCACAGTATGCTATATTTATGCTAGGGTGACAACAACTAAACATAAAGAAAAGGAAAAGTACAATAGTACCCCTACGGTACTATAGATATACAAAATAACATCTGTTAACACTCCCCCTCAAGTTGGAGCATAGATATCAATCATGCCCAACTTGTCACAAAGATCATGATGTCTTGAGTGTAGTCCTTTTGTAAAGATGTCTGCAAGTTGGTCCTCAGAGCTGACATAGGGAGTACACACTTCGCCTGTGATGACTTTCTCTTTGATAAAATGCTTGTCGACTTCGATGTGTTTTGTTCTATCATGTAGCA